CAGCAAACTGAGGGGGTGATCAATCCTAATAAGGTAACATTACTACAGCAATTGGCTGCCAGCAATTTTCATGTAGCTGCATCCATCTGGTGACAGATCATCCTTGCTAGTTTCACCAGAAGGTTTGATGATCAACTCGCTCATGATGCAAATTCTCGCCGACCTTCCACAATGGATCGCTAATGTCAACTGGGCTGTTGAACTGGAGGGTACCATTTTAGTAGCAAAAAGACTCACTTTCTGGGAGCAAGCCCACTAACTGATCCACCCAGGACTTGGAAGTTGCTGGGGATTCCGAGATTGACCGAGCCTTCCATTGCATTTGTGCCAGCTCTTCACGTCGATTTTCGATCAGATGGACCGAAGCATCGGAGAGGCCAGCTTGTAATGGCAGACGCTGGCCTAACGCAAGCACTTGACAGAGAGTCTGGGTTGGGTTGGTCCGCAACTATCCCGTATCTCTGTTATGGGGAGTAATAATCCCTAATAAAAACAAGATAGCTCATTCCTATAGAAACAACTCAACGAAGGGTATTTGTTTATGGCTCACTTGACAGAGTCTGGGTTGCCATGATTTCAGCAGCCAAAATCCAACCCGACGCAGCCTGAAATTGCGCTTTCAAGTTGCTGGTCAGTGCAAATCCTTGGCTCCAAATGAGCGGTGTTCAAAAACCCGAAATGTCATCCCTTTCTGGTGGGTTGATCAGGATTCCATCACAGGTGATAGTAATCCCCAATTACCAGATAACATTTCATAACCCCCGATAACTACAGTAATCCACCAGGACTTTGGTCGTCAAATGAAGCTGGGCAGTGCTGCCAAGTTCCTTTGTCCACTGCTATCACAAATATCGAAGTCCTACGCAGGCCGCAGGCGCACAACCCAGTGGGCAGCAGAGCAAGTGGCGCCAAAAATACCAGCGCAGTGCCAAATAGAGAATCCCAACTGTCCCACCAGTCTCTACACCAAAAAGAAAGAAACTAGAGCATTTTATTATAAACCCTAGTAACTAGTTCGTTATTATGTACCATAAACCATAGTAACTATGTTCACGAATAATCTGAGGCTCATCTCATAAGCTCTCCTGTTCTTGAACGCCAAGCACACTTTGCAGTTCCTTTTGCAAGCTTCCCACGGAATCAAAGTTCTTCACTGGGCACAAACGCCCACAAACCTGGCTTAGAACACGGCAGGGTGACTGAAGTGTTGGTCAATGTTCGCAGTTTTATCGAATCAAATCCCCGTTTTTGGGTTGTTGATCTCGCCATTTTGCTTGGGGATTTGAATAAAATATGGTCTCCCCGCCATTTTTCCCTTGGATCCTCTTTTCCGCTGGTGAATTTCCAAATGTGTTTGACAGAAAATAGGATGCCCCCTGTACCCGCTCTTTGATGGTTTAGAGCACCATTTTCCCAGTAACATTGTGATTTTATGATATGTTGTGGGTTGATTCCGTTTTCAGACATTCTTGGCTACATGCCATTCAAATCCTGTATGTATGGATGGATGGATGGATGGATGCATGGATGTATGGATCTATGGATGCATGAATGCATGGGTGTATGGATGCATGCATGTATGTTTGTATGTATGGATGTATGCATGGATGTATGCATGGATGTATGTATGTATGTGTGTATGTATGTTTGTTTGTTTGAATGTATGTATGCATGCATGCATGCATGTATGCGTGCATGGATGTATGTATGGATGTATGTATTTATGTACGTATTTATGTATGTATGCATGGATGTATGCATGGATGTATGTATGTATGAATGTATGTATGCGTGTATGTATGTCTGTTTGTATGTATGTACGCATGGATGTATGCATGGATGTATGTATGTATGGATGTATGGATGTATGTATGCACGTATGTATGTACGTACGTATGTATGTATGTATGTACAGTATGACTGTATGTATGTATGTATGTATGTATGGATGCACGTATGTATGTACGTACGTATGTATGTATGTATGTATGTATGTACAGTATGACTGTATGTATGTATGTATGGATGGATGGATGGATGTAGGCATGGATGTAGGCATGGATGTATGTGTGAATGTATGCATGGGTGTATGCATGGATGTATGCATGGATGTATGCATGGATGTATGCATGGATGTATGCATGGATGTATGCATGGATGTATGCATGGATGTATGTATGTATGAATGTATATATGTGTGCATGTATGTTTGTTTGTATGTATGTATGCATGGATGTATGCATGGATGTATGCATGTATGTACGTATGTACGTAGGTACGTATGTACGTATGTACGTACGTACGTATGTACGTACGTACGTATCTATGTATCTATGTATCTATGTATCTATGTATCTATGTATCTATGTATCTATGTATCTATGTATCTATGTATCTATGTATCTATATATCTATGTATCTATGTATCTATGTATCTATGTATCTATGTATCTATGTATGGATGTATGCATGTATGTATGTATGTATGTTTGTATGTATG